AAAGCTGGAGCATTGCCAAAGCAAATCCCACAGCTCTCATTGATCATACACCACTTATGATCTCTAATGAATAGAATTCTTAGACTTTCAAAAATCCTTGTATGTGCTGTACCAAGGATCATGATTGTTAACTGGACATCAAATCAACCATTGGGGTGTAATAACAGATGCTCAACATTAGCTTTTTATTCTTTTTAATGTCTGAATTGTCTGAGAAAAATGTTGGCTGTCACATATCTGAAATTTTCAGGTTATCTGCAAAGTTTGACCAATTCTGTTGATTTTTACTTGTATGCGCTTTGATATTACAAACAAAAAAAAGAAAAAAAAAAGTACAAGTTGGATAACCCTAACTTAAACGTTCATCTACAATAATGAAAAAAAACCTAGAACCTAGTTTTTCACAGACCCAAAAAGTAAAAAAGAAAACTTTCAGCCTTGGTTGAGTTCCCACTCTTATTTCAGTCTAAGTAGTAAGCATCCGTTTTAGTATTCATACTCCTCAGCATAACCATAATAGTTGCTGCCATTTCTCCTGTGCACTTCGGCCTGTAGAAGAAGAAGAAGAAGAAGAAGAAGAAGAAATGCTTCAGTTTAGGCAAGCACAATGAGCTAACTGAGTGAACTGAAGGGAGAAGCATATAAAAAATCCTCACATTGTCAAGCATGTATTGAAGTTCTCCAGTTCCATGCTCCTGGATGTACTTCTCTGCAGCAGTGATAATGTCCTCGCGCTTGTTCAAAGGGTCCTTTCCCTTTGGAACATACCAAACGTTCACTTTCTGCTGGTTCACCATTAGAGGTCTTAGATAATGCTCGTACACATGCGCAGCTCCGTTGAAGCCCGACAACCAACAGAGCAGAACCAGCTTCGCATATGGCCATATGGGGATCCTGCCATGAAATATTACCTCAGAAACTTTCAGTGGGTAGATGAAACTCGAAGCAGTTATGAAAGCAGAAGCTCCTAAATGCCTACCATTCAAGAACCTTGGAGAAGGTCAGCTCGAAGAGAGTAATCATGGAGTGCAAAACCCAATAAGTAAGCCATTGCTGATCGTCGGTGGGGGATTTGGTCTCGATGGCTCTGATTGAGGCATATCTGCAAAAAATAAAAACAAAAAAAACCCAAAACCCAAAATCCAAAAAGATCGAATTCAGTAGTTCAGTCAACAACTATTTTTGAAATATAAGAGCGAAGAAAGAAACTTACAGAGGATAGACAAGTCCGACAAGTGGCCTGCAAATCAAATCACGCCAATGTATCAATCAATATCCTTGAACATTAACAAGCAACTAATTTCCTATTATGGGTTCTTTCTACTGCTTGAGATGATTAACCAGAAACTAATCGAGGAAAAAGGAAGTAGAGAGAGTCAGAGAGATACCCGGCAAGAACGTCGAAGTTTCTAAGAACAACTTTAAAGAAATTACCAGCCCCAGACCCCATCTTTTGGCTTAATATATATCAATGGTCTTCAAATTTAAAAACCCAGAATCCCAAAACGAAGAAGGGAGAGAGAAACCGTTCTTCCAAATGTGTTCTGTTTTAGATCTTAAGCTGGAGAAGCGGTGAAGCTGTGTGCGTGTTAAACAATAAAGAGTGGCAAGTGTCATCGGGAAAATTGAAAAGAGAAAAAAGCAGAGGAATCAATTCCAATTCCAAGGATGGAGTCGGTGGAAAGGAAGGGTAATGAAAAGCCCAATTAGCAAAATCAAAAGTCTAATCAGATTAAGATACTTAAAAATAAAAAAGGGAAAAAAGTGAGAATGGGGGGAGGGGGAAGGCAGGGATGAGTATCATCGTACTGGGACTGAGAGGTCTGAGGAACACAATAGGGGTTGTCGAGGAGGAGGCTAAGGTGGGAAGCAAAGCAAGTATTTTGTCGGGATGCAAGTTGGGAAAATTACAGAGTTTGACACTTAATGGTAATTGGGGTTCCTCGAAACGTGTTGAATCTGTAAAGTTGGAGGTGTCCTTTTGGCGCAGAACATTGCATATTATGTGGGGTTTGGGTTTTGCTCTGTGGTTCCAATGCCCCACTGGAGGGTGGTTTACTTTCTGTGGAGATTCTGATCGAAGGAAAAAGAGGGGTTTACAGGAGAATTGGTTAAGGGAAACGGCATTAATGAACGCGATGAAGATGAAGATGAAGATGAAGATGAAGGTGAAGGCATGTGGGGACAGAGTCAGGTGAGTAAAACCCGCAAGGGATAAGGTGTGGACGCAACACCACGATCCCACCATTGCATATTTGAATAATTGATTGATGCAGTAAAAAGGAGAGATTTTGGAGCCATTCCTCAAACTCACAATATTATTCAAACAATCAAAAACTTTCACACTGCAGTCTGCACCCTTCATCATCTATTAGTACTCTACACTCTCCTCTTAAGAATAAATGACAATATTAGAAACGGAATTCGAGAGTTTTTAAGAATGTCTCCATATGAATCTAGCGGTAATTGACATCTGTAATCAAGAGATCATGAATTTGAATCTCCTACCTTTAAGAGATCGTGAGTTTGAATCGTCTATCTCTTGTTGTACTAAAAAAAGAATTTTATCCACGTAGGGTAATTGTATTTTGGTTAAAACCGGTGTTTGTCAAACAAATGAATATATATTTGGACAGGGTTTTGTCAATTATTAATATAAAATGGTGTTAGAAAGAGTAATTGAGATACAAACATATTGCTATTCCATTGGAAGGCAAAGGGATATCGAGGGTACAAGAATGAAATAATAATTAAAAAATAACAAACAATTACTTAAGTTTAGAAGGATACTAAATTGAATATCCCAAACCTATGCATAGTTGAGCTAAAATGTCTACTCTCCTTTCCCTTAAGATTAGAAATTCAAATCTTTATACCACATTTTATTTTATTCCAACATGAGTTTCGAGGTCTCTAACCGGGAGGTTATGAGTCGTTCGAATATCCCCAACCCTTATTGGTCGTACTAAAAAGATTATAGAACAAAGGTTAATTAAAGCAAACATGAACGTAGTTTATCAATTAAAGGTATTTTGCTTATTCTCCATATTAATTTATAATGATAACAGTATTATTGCATTATTGCTATCAATATGCTTAATCGTAAACGTTTTAAACTTATTAGGACATATATGTTTAAATATAATTTTAATCATTAAACTAGATTATTTCATTTTCGTCCGTCAACTTTCAAAATGTATATTTTAATCTTTAAATTTTTAAAATGTAACTATTTTGGTCCTTACCATAATTTTGAATTTAACAAAGGATAGTGAGACTTCTAAGTATGTTTTTCTCCTCTTAAAGACACAAAGCTAAGTTAGCTAAATTAAGTATTGGGTGACCGAATAGAATTAGATGACAAAATAATAACAAATGATCAAATTACGATATTTTAAGTTTTATGACTAAAATAGATATTTTAAGTCTAAGAACTGAAATCAAATATTAAAATGAAATTTAATCCTAAAAATATTATTTTATAAACTTATTTTATTTTTTCTCTACAGTTTTAAATATTCTATTTACCTTCACAACTTTCAAAGGTTTGTTTTCTTTTAAGTTGATGTAACCTTAAGGAAAAGGTATATGTGTTTAACCACGGTGAAGTTTGCCAAATGTTTGGTTTTAAGTTCTTAAATTTTACATTAAAACCAGTTTAGTCATAAAATTTTTATTAATCATGAAGCAATAATCTTGTTTGAGAACACTTAATCTATTACATGTAGCTTCAAATAACTCTTGTTGCAAATATGTAGGTAAATAAATAATATAATACTTATGTTTAAGGATTCTTGTTAAATAATTTATTAGAAAAGTAACATAGTTGTTAATGTAAGGTTGAAAAACGTAACTAAAGATAGAATATTCAAAAGTTTAAAGACAAAGATGAAATAAGTAAGAAGCTAATATTATTAAATTAAAACTAAGAATAACTTAATAGTTAAAGCCATCATTTATTGTAATAAAAAAAAATTAGGTGAATGATAGTATGTTTAAATTGTATATATAATGGAAATAAAATTTTAATAAAACATTGATATAATGATGTATTTAACCTCGATATATAATATACCTCTCACCTCTTTAATTTGTTATATTTTTGTGTCAATGAATTAAAAAAAAAACGTCTTGGGAATAAATTTACAAAGAAACGCAAACGCAATTTATGAAGTCCAAATATTTAAAAATCATTATGAATTTATTTTATTTTTTTGTACTCCGTGTAATATTGAAAGAGAAATGGGACAATAATTTAGAAATTAATAGTAATCTAATAATAAAGTTTATATATATATGAGAAATAAAAAGAAGCATCTCTCTAAAGTCTAACCTCTCTCACGTCATATATGAAAAAGGAAAATAGTTTCCGATCACGAGACGCCGGTGTCCGGCAGCGCTCCCTGCGGCGGGTTTTGAGCGGCGTATATATTTAAGTGTGCTTGGTTGATGATCGTTCCGCCGTCAGTGGGGCCCAATGCCAAAGGCTTCCCCGGCAGCAGCGTCAGTGGACCACCGGCCAGATTCGTTAAACGCAATCCGCCGGAGCCGGAGGCTGTTCCGTCTTGATTATTGAGCGATGGAATAATTGGAAGCCTCCACAAAGACTCGGCGGAGTTTCCGTCGGAAAGCATCCAAAAGTTCGCCGGAATATTCGCCCCTGCTCCTGCGCTGGGCTGCAGCAAATAGCTCCCCATTTGACGGTGTGGATCTTGGCCGCCCAAGTGATCCTCTTTTGCTTGCGTCATCTCACCCATATTTATTGGTAATTGAGAGTTGAACGGTATCACTGAACTCATTTTAAAAATATTTTATTAATACGGAGAAATCTTATCGTTACCACTGTTAAATATTTGATAAATTTTTTTATAAAAACTAATTACTGGTTAGTTTTGTATTGGTGATGAAAATAAGATCTGATCATTACGAATCAGGTATCTTCTCTTGGTTTAATCTCAACTTTCCATCGAAAGTACTTGGAACCTTACCGGCGAAGACTAACCTTCTCTATTTATGATCATACACATAAGATAGTTGTCCATCATTTTTCAACTTCTTGCCCTAATTTTTCTATATCCAATGTGAGAAAATGTAGAAAAATAGTACTCTTTGTTAGCCTTTCTAACTCCGTTGGAAATGCTATAGGTATAACTGAAACCAATTAATTGTATACTATATTAGTTGTCAAATACACGTATAATATGTGTTTACCTCCCGGATGATAGTAAGACGAGGATCTTAGTTGGGATGGCAAAGAGATGCTTGTGGCGGACCTTCTTAGCGACGTATTGAGAGAGTTGAAGTTTGCAGGTATGGTGCCGGTACCCGTGGCGGCGATCACGGCGGGCTCGGCCTGCTGAAGGAGCCACTCGATGGTCTCCCCGTCGGATTTGTGGCCGAGCTCGCGGGTGAGCTGGAAAACTCTGGCAGCACAAAGAGCAGGCATTCGGGTGCGGCGGCCACGACCGTCGACTTTAGTGTGGCGGTCTTTGGTGGTGGTCCTCTTTGAAGAGGGCTTCTTCGAAGTCTCAGCCAGAAGTTCCGGCTCCAGCTGAGAATGAGAATCGTATTCCTTCTTCTCTAACAGCTGGAGAGGAAAAGTGGTTGAACGGTGGTGGTTCTGTTGATAGTGAAGCTGCTCATAACTTCCTTGTTCCATGACTATAATTTAGCTGATGTTTTTCTGGATCTATGGTGGGTTGGGCTCAATAATTTTAGAGAGAAAAAAAAGGGAAGAAATGGGAAATGGTGAAGAGGGAGGGTTACGTTTTAGATGTTGGTTGGAATGGGAGTAGAAATGTATATATATTGATGAGTGGAGATCAGTGGGGAGTGGGGGAGTGAATTATAGGGTTGATATTATTGTGGGTGGTACTGTCCCATTGGTTCAGAATCCACGTGAAATGGGCTTTTTATGATGCAATTTATAGAGACAGTGTGGGGCTCAACCTCACCTCAAAACAACTGACTAACTCTCAACTTTCAACAACAAAGGGTTTAGTCATTAGTGATTGTATGAATATATAAGTTCAAGTTAGTTTAGAATAATAATAATATATATCAGGTGGGTTTTACTTGAAGTAGTTGTTTTATGATAAATTTGTCCTAAAGATGATAAGCTGCTCAATTGGAAAGTGCTGTCTCTTTGCTGATCTCTTTAACTTTTTTTTTTTTATTTTATGTGGGTCTCCCTTTTCCCATTTTATTTGGCGCGGTAACTTTGTTTCAGTCACACCCAGTAATTGCAATTTATCAAAGAGAGAGAGGAATTATATTCAATTAATAGAGCAAAACATTACGTACTGATTAAAGATTATTGTATTATTGATGGGGTTTGAAGAGGAAGAACAATATATGGGGATCAAGAGAGATAATCAGGTGGAAGTTGAATAATAAGTTATATTGATGACATCTTGAGGCTTAGAGGGAGGATGGGTTTTGTTTCTCATTCTTAATTGAAGGTAGTCCTTGTAGATGAAGCCTCTGTATTTTGGTGGCTCTTTAATCTCCCTTGTGAACTCTGCCAATGGCTCCACCCACTTGTCTCCTCCAATGTTGTAGAAGAACGCATATGAATGACGCTCTTTGCATGCCTGCCTCACCACCCTGTGACTCGCGCTCCTGCACCTATCGTTGCTCAGTACCTATGCCAATACAAGACGTACGAGTCAAAAAAGAGAACAAGAAACAAGAAACAGTTACCAAATATATTAATTACTACCTGAATGACATCTCCTACATTGACAACAAGGGTGGTGGGATCGGGAGTGATCGGGACCCAACGGCCGTCTCGTTTGAGCTCGAGGCCTCCAACTTCATCTTGGAACACAAAAGTAATGCAGTTAACATCCTTATGCTCTCTAAGTCCAACGTTTTCCAGCTCAGTTGCAGGAGGGTATCTGAATGCGGACATCAGATCCCACTTCCTATTTGTTAAACAGAATTAACAATCAACTTAATGAATAATTAGAAGAAGATTATAGAAACTCTTTAAGTATGGGTCAATTAAATGTTGTGTTCAATTGAATATACCTGTCGTTATTGTATTCAGTGAGGAAGTTTGGAGGAAGACCCAAGCAGTCGTTTATGATACTTTCTACTATTGAAGCCGTCTTCACAAAGTATGAGAATAGCTCCTTTACAACTTCGCTGCAATCCTCAAGTGATGAAGAACACATAACAGTTCAGTCTTCTTTGTATGAAAATACTAAGAAGAAAAGAGTTCTAAGTATATTGTGCATGCTGTTTTTTCCATTTAGTCCTTTTATATTTGTCATAAATTCTTTATATATATTTTATTCCATAATGTATTAGGTGTTTTTTCAATTTAATCTCAATTATTTAAAAAGTTCTAAAATTAACTGATGATAAATTTAGAATAACATAATATTTTGTGAGTTGAATTAGACCACTTAAGGATAAAGTTTCTAATTTCTCCTCCAAATTTATAGCTATAATAAGGCGGTAAAAAATTCAACTTAGTTTAGGTGATCCAATTTCTCCAGCCTTCCAAGTTTATGCCTACATAATAAGAATAATGTAATGGTATAATTGAAATATGTTAAAAAAAAAAAAAAGACCAAATTGAAAACTTTTAAACAATGACAGAGACTGAATTTAAAAAACCATTTCAAATATATCAAAGCTACTTGTATTAGCAAACAAGATATATATATATCATCATGCTTATTCTCTGAACAAAGAAAGTGTTAGATTGAAATTAAACTTAGAGAAGGAGAAGATTATATTAAAGAAAAACCTAAAGGATTGAGGATTGGTGGGGAAGACATTGAAGGTTGAATCAGGTGGAAACATCATAAGGAACTCGTTCTTATCGGGAGATTGCTCCGGCTGGCGGCCATATCCCGCCGGCAGTGGTGCGCCGGGAAGAGGGCTGGCCTCAAGCTTTCTTTCCAAAGGGTAACCAAAAAACTCCTTAGATACCAAAAGTGCTTTCTTCATAAGCTCAACAGGCACCCCATGGTTCACCACCTGGAAGAATCCATACTCCAAACATGCTTTTCCAATAATCTCACTCGCCTTCTTCCTTCCATCTTCATCTTCATCTTCTTTTCTCAAAAATGGAGAAAGATCCGCCGTCGGAATTCTCGAGTTCTCCATTTTCACTTCGAACTTAATAGTACTTTCTCTCTTTTGATTTTGATGTTTTGATTTGAAGTAGGGGTGTGAGACTCTTGTGAGCTTTTAATTAGAGGAAGGAAAATACTTGACTTCTTATCTGTCAATACTGTGCTAACCACCCTTGAATATTTGAAAATCAAAAAGGAAGAATTGCAAAAGTAGAGACTGTCCGTTAATTTTTCAAGAATGGTAAAGGCAAAATTAGTCGCCCTTAGGGATATTTCTTTTTCAATCAAAGTTTATTAGAAAAAAGACACTTGTTGGCTGTTTTTTTTGATGCAGCCAAAATTATTATGCCGCCGCCTAGTTTAATTTATGTCGTGGTAGTCCACTTGTTTAGCAAGTAGTAGAGAAAAATTATAAATATATATGATTGTATAATATTTGTGACACTTCACTTTGTTATTATCGTCAAACTTCAACTTACATTTCTCAATATTCTTATCTCTAATTGTATATGTGGGAGACGATCTATCAAAAACAAATGTGGGAGTTTAGGATATACATGCATATGTATCTAATTAATTAATCTTTTGTAATTATATCATTGGAGAGGGAACATGCCACTATTATTTTGATTCCACTTGATATTCTTTTCAACATAAAATAAAATAATGAGTGAATCATTTGTTGAATAAATGTTCTTGTAAAACAGAGTGAAATAATGAAGTTGAAAATTAATGTTCTACATTCTACAAAAATGACAAAGGTTTTGTTATACATGGGGATTGAAGGAGAAACTTTTGAAAAGTTGAAATCAATGTGCATGAAAGAGAGGAATATATATATATAGACTAATTAAATAGTCATGATACTTATCCTATAAGTTTGTTACCATTTTTAATTCAAAATGAACAGACATACACAGCCTATATGAAGGAAGAACACAACCCAACATTGATGTGAAATAAAGACAACTCAGGGATGTGAAAGAACACACTTCATAAGTGTGAAAAGATACAACTCTGAAGATGCACCTACCTATATGCATTTATTCCAACAGGTTTATGTAATAGTCATTGGGCCAAAGTTAGAGATTCTGCGTAACACGAGTAATTATTGGAAGCTTATCCACCATGTAGCTGGTATGAGAGAGTCACCGCATTGTAACAAAAGTAATATAGATTTTTTAACATGCATCCAACGGTTATTATGCGTGTAGCAACAATGTAATAAGGCAGGCAAGAGACAATCTGGCAAACTGAAACATCTTAGTAATCAGAAGAAAAGAAAGCAAAAATGATTCCTGTAATAGTAGCGAGCGAAATTGGAGCACCTAAACCAGGAAAATTTGTTGTAGCGCGCAGGACAAAGCACTATTTTTTTCCCTTATTAGATTTCTAATGTAAAGACTGCAGGATGTCGGATGATGAAATGGAAAACACACTACAACAACATGTGACCTTAAACGACACTCTCAAGTACAAGACGGTAAAAGCAACAGAACAGACAGCAGGAGAAAGTGCTGGTACACTATTTTTCTCGATGGCTTGAGATAGATCATATTGGCTATATGATATTTATCAACTGATTTCATAGTGTGTGATGTGGATCTCATCCTCAACTCTGGAAGGTGGATGGGTTTTGTTCTTGAGTCTCAAGGCTTGGTATTCTTTGAACTCAAATCCTCTGTATTTAGGCTTCTCTCCAATCTGTTTGGTGAAATGTGGCAGTGGTTCAACCCACTTGTCCCCATGCAAGTTGTGGAAGAATGCATAAGAGAATCTCTCTTTTCCCTTTTGCCTCACCACTCTGTGTGTTGCACTCTTGAATTTCTTGTTGCTCAACACCTTAAATTCATCAAAACATAAATATTCTTGATTACATGCAAGTTTTGGAGAAATTAGTTGATACCATTATACAATTTACCTGAATAACATCTCCAATGTTGACTACTATAGCTCCTTGGACAGGGGTAACTGGAATCCATTCTCCATTTTTGCGGACTTGAAGCCCTCCAGCTGCATCCTGGATAACTAAGGTGATGCAGTTTCCATCTTCATGGTGAGTGAGTCCATTTTCATTGTCTCCAGCAGCAGGGAAGTAGTAGAGATTAGTCATGAAATCCCAGGTTCTGTTATCGTTGTATTGTTTGAGGAAACCAGGAGGAAGACCCAAACAATCGTTTACAATGCTCTCTAGAAGCAAGCACACTTTGCTTAGTTTCAAGAACATCTCTTCCAGCACTTCCCTGAACCACACCCAAAACAAATTGAAATTGCCCTTTTTTTCAATCAAATGACTGATAAATAGACAATAAAAAGTTGCTTACTTGAATTGTGGTGGTTCTTGGGGGTAGATGTTGTAGGCGGATCCAGGAGGAAAAACAAGAACATACTCATTCTTGTCCACACATTTGTCCTTCTGCTTGTTGAAACCAGCGAGAAGGGGAGCGCCAGGCTTGGAGCTATATTTGAGCTTTACATCATCTGGGTATTGGAAAAAAGTTCTGGACAGTTCCAGAGCTCCACTGAGAAATTCAATGGGTACGCCATGGTTCACGATTTGAAAGAAGCCATAGCTGGAGCAGGCTTCGGTTATGGTTTCAAACGCCTTCTTCTTGCCTTCATCATCGCCTTCTCTACAAAACAGAGAAAGATCCACAGTTGGGATGGCCATTTCAAAGAACTGGATCAGTTTCAAAGGGAAGTGGCAGAGCTTTGATTCTTATAATGGTGCTGTTGCCAAATAAAAACCTGTCAAGTAAGGAAAATGACACAGTTGGAATGCATGCCTTGGACCTGGGTAATTTAAGAGAGTTTTTGGAAGTTTTGTTTCATCCTGCTAATTTAGCTTTTGTGTAATAAAAATTTTTCCCATAACGTTTTCAGCCTCTTTAATTACATACTTAAAAAGTCTTGGGAACAAAAAAAACTTGGGGTACTTTCCTATTTGATACTTGAACTTTGCCATCTCGAGGTGTAACGTCTGATATAAAATCATAATAACATGAACTCGAAACCTCTTACTCTTACTTTGACACTATGCTAAGTTATTACAAAAGTATAAGAATTGAAACATGTCCCAAATTTAACGGATAGATGAAATCCTTGAATATCGACCAAAAAAGCAATATGAATTTTGCATGTCTTTTAGATGCGATAGAGAGTTTCTATACAAGTGTAAGATGCCAATGCCATCGTATCGGTTAGATTTTCCATCCTTCGAATGCGTTTACTTTCTTATTTCTCCATCTCGAGGAAACTGCTCTCGGTTGTTTTATCTTTTGTTTTCTTCCCCTTTCTGGCTGGGGGACCTCTCACACTTTTTTTTTTTTTACTTTTCTTTAAAGACAATATGCGGAATCTACGCAACTCTCACAAGTTTTTTAATTTCAATTTTCTAAAAAATATCCATTCCATCATTTAATTTGTAATGTTTAGAGTTGATTGATCAAACTTTGTCTTGAGATTCAAAAGTTGATGCCTGAACCTCACCCCCCTCTCTCCAGACTCCAGTGCCTTGAGATTCAAAACCTGACGCCTGAACTCTACAGAAAATAATTTTGTATCAATCGATGGATCTGACAAACAACTCTGAAGCAAATTTTAGTATGGAGGAACTTAGAAGGTGTTGGTGCACTAAATAATTGCTCTGGCTCTGGTTCAGGAACAGCAGCCATGGGAAAAACAGAAAATTAAAGTCACCTTTAGCTGTGGCGCTTTGTAAAACAACAATTAATAGCATATTCATATTAAAGGGGAATCCAAATAACTTTACACACCAAAATACTTTCTCCAATGTTAGCATTAGAACGAAACATAAAATTAAAACCACAATATCCTCAACAATCTATGTATTAGAGAGTAATTTAGGCAACGGCGAAGAAGAAAAACGAACGGGCTCTTAGGGAGGAAGTAGAGTCGAGTCTAAATGCCTGACCAACTGAACTTACAGACCGTTACCCTACCATATAGACCCATTGGAAGAAGGCTACCAAAAGAAACGATCAACATTCTCCTTTACCACCTGATACCCAAGTAACTATTACAGAAACGAGCCATTTGGAGTGATGGAAACTTCACTATTCTACTCATCATCTTCATCATCATCATCACCCACATCATTGTCATCATCTTGCTCATCATCATCCTCTTCAGAGTCATCATCTTCCTTTCCCTGCTAATAGAAATGAACAAAATACAATAAGGTGCTAATTTGCCAGCAGTTAAAAAATTCAATAACAGAGTTCTATAAGCTCTCTCTCTTCCCCTGTTGGCTTCAGAAGATAAATAATTTCATTTGACGGCAAGTAGAACTCAATTAGCAAAAAGTAAAATTCAAT